CTGTCATTCACCTTGTTTGAAATATTGCTTACTTCATCTATCCTGTTGTATTTAAAATTAAAGGAAAGTTGATCACATAATCTAATTTTAAGTTTGGAAGTAGTTTCAATTTCGCTAGTGGTTCGCCCTCTCTTCACCCAGCTTTTGCAAAGTGTAGAGTTAATAGCTTTGATGGCCCTTCTATAAATACCCATTTTCTTCAAACATGTTTTGCATACCTAATTAATTCCTTTGACTATGCTGTTCTATGCAAGTAATCAACTTTCTAGCCATGCATTAGGGCTAGACAGTCTTCAAAACAAAGCTTTTGTCTTTTGTTAAGTGGAATTTTCCACCTCTGTAAACAAGTGCACATAGAAGTGTAACCTTTGTATTGCTGACCAGAAGAAAAACGTGTTTGTTTTGATGAGACTCCAAGTCACTCACCCTTCCTTGAGCTTTGACTTCTATTGCTTTAGGATCTCATATCAAGATTGCTTTTAAGTAACAGCCGATGTTGATTTGTTTCTAAAAATCAGATTACAGGCAGATGCATTATTTTTTGTATATATACTTATAGTGTGTGTATATGTATACATATATATGTAAACAAGCAAAACTGTACATATGTATATACATATACACGTTTAATCACTCAAAATCCCGTGAGTAACAGCATCATAGTCCTAGAGACATCTCCCTTTGCCAGAGGACCAGTGCAGCAAAGCCAGTGTCCCTGGAGCCAGGCAGTGACCTCAGCCTCCCCAAGGCACGGGTCCCGCCTCACGCCTGGGGAAGGATGAGTTCTGCAGAATGCCATGTGCTACAGAAGTAACTGCTATTCATTTTAACTTGCTTTGTTTCCAGCTTCAGAAAGAAGTGAGCCCACGAAGAGGAGGTGGTTTTCTGTGTGACCAGAAAGAGAGTAACCTTCGTCCATTTGCGACCCAGGGGAACCTTCATGTGCCTCGTTCGATGGGGTCAAGATCCTACTCTGATTCAGACGCCATTCAGTTTGATGATCGGTCACTATCTAAGCTGAAGGAGAGCGACCGGTGCAGTGCCACAGAAAACCTCTTTCTGGAGTCTCTGTCTCTTGATTCCCCCGACGAGTCTGATGAGCACCGGTCTCGGCAGCTGGAGCGGGAGAAATTCTTGACCGGATTAACGGAAGTACGTACTCTTCTACCTTTCATCAAGCCAGTGTGTCATCTCTTATCTCAGAATTGGTACAGCATCCGTGCTATGGGAAGTGAGATATTGTGTCATGGGCACTGTTTACAGTTACACAGTAGTGAATTTGGTATGGATGAGATTTCATTTCTTGTTATGAGCTGATTAGACCAGTGTCAATCACCTGAGAAACTGGGAGCCAGCCTAAAGGTCCCAAAGATTACCTCACCTTGTGGCCATTCGTATTATGTATGATAACTATATTTGACACAATATATTGGTTTAGAAGGTCTTAAATCTCTCTCAGTTATAAGTAGATACATATATATGAAGAAACATGGGCTATATTTTGTTAGTAAAGCAGTAAATGCTGTAGAGAGGCATTTCTGGTTGTTCCGTTGTGGTTGCCTCCTAAAGAGATTAGCACGAGTAAGTGAGATGACATATTCAAAAAAATAAAGTTGTTATTCATCAGCAAAGTACCTACCCTCAGCCTACACCATAAAGCTATAAATATGTAAAACACAGTCTTAAGAGATGCCATTGGGCCATAGTGAATGTAGTCTGTGTTCTGCTAAAATCTGCACCACTGCAGGCTTACTTTCACTGGTTCCAGGTCTTCACAGTTCTGTTTATGTGGTTGCTGAACAAAAGCCGAGGTCCCCATCCCCATATGCTGGTACAAAGTAGCCTGTGAACTTGCATATTGTATTAGTGGCACTGAGAATGTTCGCACTAACCACAACTATACTTTAATGGTTCCTGTGAAATTGAAAACACATTACAATGTCAAAACACTAATATCTCCTTTATTTGCTATTGTTCCTTGAATGTTAGCAGCTGTTACAGAGCAAGAAGCATTTGGAGACTGCCAAAGTTAAAATTACCAAGCAGGGAGCACGTTGCTTGATGCAACTTTTGAGTGCTTGCTTCTTGCATGAAAATTCAGACTTGTGCATGTTAGACATTCAGCTTGTGCTCTGAGCAGGTAACTACTGCTTGGGTGTACATATTATAGCAAATAGGGAAGCCGAAGCTTCCCAGGCAAAGATGGAATTGTGTACTCTGGTTTGAAAATTTGATGCCTCTGGAAAAGAGTTTGTCAAGAGGTCAGATCTCGAGGTCCCTGTAGGATCAGGTTCACTGGTGTGCCTTGCCTTGAACACGTGCACCTGTGAAAATTTGACCCAAGCATTTCTTTGAGACGTACAGCATTGTAACTTAGCTAAAGGATTGGGAAATCAAGTTCTTTGAGAGGAAGAAGAGAAAAAAAGATTAAGAGAGGCAAGAAATGTGACCATCCTTCTTGCATTTTAAGTAGCTGTAAGCACCTGTGTGTTCCAGTTAGATTTTCCTCCCTCAGTGCCATAAATGTACAGCTGGTGGTATGGGGTCCCATTATTTATTATTTCTTAGCTTTTATTTCATACGTGTCCAAGGGCTCAGTGAAGAATGTTGGTACCAGTGTCAGGGATTTATGTTTTGTGTTTAATTTTGATTGCTGTTTTCTTTCCTTCAAATTCAGTCTGCTATTGAAGAGGGGAGATCTCTCCTCCCTTTTCTGTTTTTCAGACTTTACCACCATGAACAAAAGCGTTGGCGGCAAAATTTGGTCCTCGGTGATATTTGCATAACTTCTTTCCTTCAAAGCCTGTTTTAGTGAAACCTGGGCAAAGTCATTTCCCCTCAGAGGGTTTGCTCAGGCGAGACTGATTGGAGTTTAATGAATAGCTTAACTGAGGATGCAGAGAGGCAACCGCAGCCTGCCGGCTGTTCCTCTCCACTGTATTTTCTCTGTGGTCCTAACTGCAGTAGAAGTCAATCCAGCCTTCAGCCTAATTCTCCATTTAGTTAGATCAGATTTACTCTGTAGTAACTCCACTGAAGCTACCAACGTTATTCCGGACTTATACCAGAGTGGATGAAAGGAGGATCCTATTTTTTCCCCTGACTCTGAATAAATACCAGAAAGGTATCTGCTGAGTTAAGCGGTCTTTTTGAATAGTCACAATCTGAAATACACTTCTGTGTCGGTAATGTTCTTGATTTCATGAGGTCAAATAAAAATAATAGGTAGTAATGCTCTTCCTTTCCTGATCATATTTTGTATTCCCTATATATTATTAGAATATAAGCAAACAGTTAAAATAATAACTGTAGAGCAATTGCTCCAGAAGTATCTATTAAAAAGACCAACTCATTATGGGAATTGTCACAGGGAAATAATTGCCATAAAAACATCTTAATGCCTTTAGCAAGCTGTAGGTATTCCCCCTATGAAACAAGTAATAGTCTTCCCACACATTTAATATAGCTAACTTAATGAGTTTCAACTGGTGCCATTTGTTGGTTCCTAGAGAACATATAATGAAGCCCTGTGTCAAAGGACCCCAGTTTATCTCTTATTTCAGCACAGCTAGGTCTCTGGCATAAAGCAGAATAACTTCACAGAACAAATTTGCTCACAAAACCATGGTCCAAAACAATATATTGTGCATGTGGAAAAAGGCCATCTGCAGTTTACTTCCATTTGTGATTGCACAGGACTATAAAAGTTCAAGGCTGTTGTAGATTTGGTGTACAGGCTTTCCCTGATGGGATTGCCCACTCTGCTACCCATGTACAAAGGGAAGGGTATTCCCACGGGCAATTTAAGATTCCTGGCCAGAGGGAAAATCAGCCACTTTTGGGAGACAAACATACCTGGTGGAACTACCTGGAAATGAATGACAAAACACCCACAAGCAAATGCCACCAACAGGTTCAGAAATCACTTATGCTGTTTGTTTCTGCTTTTCTTCAGGAGGAGGAAACACACAAAGGAAATCTTCAAAGGTGAGTAAAACTTACAGAGGAAAAAAAGGGCAAATATTTGGCTGCCAGAGCTGTAGCTCTCTGGTGCCCAAACCACAGAGCCGAGGCATAGCCGTGCCACCTCCTAAGCAGCCTACGAGCCAGATTAATGGATTTACCCTGGGATTAATTTGTCTCAGTATGCTTCTGTTCTACTCTGATTAACTTGGGCCACATTCAGCTCTGGTGCACAAAGATCGAACTCTATGAACATGCATAAAGCTGCAGCTTACACTGAAGGCTCTGCCTACCTTAGCAAGTAGTGCAGACCTGTAGACAGCGATATATAGAGGAAAACAGTTGGTGCTGAGGACCTGACATGCCACTGCATGTCAGGGAAAATTTGATTTGGACTAGTTCTGGTCTGATCTCATGGGTTGAATATGCACCTAACCCTGGAGTACATTAGTTGTGCTTCTGGAGAGCATCTTCCAGCTCACTTTCATCCCAAAGAAACCCAGCCCATGCTCTCTGAGATCATCCCCTGATGCAAACCAGAGCATCCAAATAGGAGATCCACTTCAAAACCACACTCCTGATCTCACCGAATTCCCTAACGTAGGTGCACCCTAACTGAAGCTGGTACTCTTGATTAAAAACTCACAGTGTGATTTTGCTGTATCCTCAGGATCACTGATACATGAAACCCACTGCTTGCTGAATCCTCACCCAGCTTGCCCACCTCATTGAGCCCACTCTGATAACTACACTCAGTTGCATTTTTAAGTAGTCCCATTCAGAAAGCTTATTTTGTTGTTTGATTTTTCTTAAAGCGAAGCAGTAGGACAACTCAGCTGAATGCCCGTGATTTGTATGAACTAGCGAAGTGTGGGAAAGCCAAGGGATCTAGCGTTATCACATAGCGATCCCCTTTGGTTGAATTGCAGCACGAGCTCAACTCACCAAGCCAGTTCAATGTAGCAGCATCTAGGCTGGATGCCCCACATGGCTACGCACCCCCTGTGCAGCCTGGGCAATCTCAGGCATGGAGGTGGACTTGCTGATTTCCCAGCAAGTCAGAAATACTCCATGCCTGTTTTGAAAAGCGTGCCTCATAATGCTGCAAAGACTCGTTTGCTGTGAAGGGTATATTTCTGTAATGCAGCCTACTGCTCCATGTTTCAGACGTTTGCCAAGCAGTAATCCATGAGAAAGCAGTAAATTAAGAGCCGTTATCAAACCGTTTGGTACTTTTAATGACACATCGGGAATGCACGCGTGTCACAGCTATTTTAGAAATAATAAAAGGGAACTTTAATGAAAGAGAGGGCTAAAGTGTTTTCATACATAAGCAGACAGCGAAGGTCAGGTTTCCAGAGTTAGTTTGCTGCTGAAAGCAAGTCGTTCTGTGAGACTTTCCAAGCCTTTGAGTGACACTCTCGTGTTTCCCTCTCCAGGGCGATGTCCGTTTCTTCCATGTCAGAATTTCAGCGCCTCATGGATATTTCTCCATTTCTACCAGAAAAAAACTTGCCTTCCTCCAGCAGCAAAGATGACATAACCCCTCCCCTCTCTCCTGATGACCTGAAATACATCGAGGAGTTCAACAAAAATTGGGATTACAGTAACACTAGGAACCATGGTGGGGCTACCGAGAAGCCTGCTGAAGGCTGGGCAGAAAGGACAGAAACTGGGAAAGCCGGGAATGATCCTGCTTCAGATCCCTTCCAGGCATCATCATGGTACCTCACCACCAGTGTCACTATGACAACTAACACCATGACCAGCCCGGAGCACTGCCAGAAGCAGCCAACGAGGAGTCACGGTGTAACTGAAAAAATGGGAGTTCGGGTCTTTCACAGCCCACCGGTTGTCCGTAGGTTTGATAACTCGGTGATAGCTGGCAGCGAAGGGAAAAACCAGGTTGAGCCGGACTTCCTGTTTTCTGTGACCAAAGCTATGGGGAATGTCGCTGAGACAAAAGGTGCTTCCTCAGATATGTTTGGAAGATGGTCTTGTGACCTGGCCAAACATCATAAGGATTTTCTGGAGAGTGGTCTTCATCCCATTGAACGTCCTATTTGCACTACTGTGGGCTTTGCCTCACCCTTGCACAGCTTGGAGATGTCCAAAAACATGAGTGATGATATGAAGGAGGTCGCTTTCTCTGTCCGAAACGCAATACGCTCTAACTCTAATTCAACAGAGCCTCAGTTTAAGGACACTGCATGTCAAACCAATGGTATGAGAACAACAGGGACGCAGACCACCCAGACGATCAGTGTTGGCTTGCAGACGGAAACCCTGCGCAGTATCACCAGCAGTCCACACAAGTGTCTGACACCAAAGGGGGGGTCCACGCCTGTCTCTTCACCATCCAGAAGCCTAAGAAGCAGGCAGGTGACCCCCGTCATTGAAAAGGTCCAGGCTAAGTTTGAACGCACATGCTGCTCCCCCAAATACGGCTCCCCAAAGTTGCAAAGAAAAATCCTTCCCAAATCAGACCAGCCAAATAACCGGACTTTGCCTGGCACACCTCAGAAAGGATTCAGTGAGTCCGCTTGGGCTAGATCAACTACTACAAGGGAGAGTCCTGTCCACACCACCATCAATGATGGCCTCTCCAGTTTGTTCAACATTATTGACCATAGCCCCATCTTTCATGAGACCTTCCAAAAATGCCCCAGGTCTAGCAGCCGGTCCAGGTCAGCAGAACCCAGACCAGAACTGGGCCCAGTGCAGGAGCCGTGTACAAATGCCCGTGGCAGATCACCCAGTCCTCTCCGGTTGGGGACAGAGACGCAAAAGGAAGAAGGGACTGAGGTGACAAGTATCAGGCAGGACTTATCTGCTCCTCCAGGGTATACACTTACAGAAAATGCTGCCAGGATCTTGAATAAGAAACTTTTGGAGCATGCCTTAAAGGAAGAGAGAAGGCTACCTTCACACAGCCCACCAAATCTTAGCAATGACAACAGCACAGGAGAAATTGTCAAAGTAGATCCAGGGTCCATAGAGGTAATGAGTTTGTTTGTTTTTCCTCCTATAGCTAAATGCACTCTTCTTTGAACAAATGCGTTATGAGATCTCTTGCAGTTCTAGTGAGTATTTACAATGAATATCCTAGTCCTGTCATGGTACCACCAGTGAGTGCCGGTCATGAAACCATTGGATTAGTCACTGAAGAACTCGTTAAAGAATTGAGTTTCTATCCTGACAGCTTATCGGGCTTGAAAGCATCAGAAGAGCTTTATCCTTTACCGGATAAAGATGCCTTTACAGGATAAAAATGGTTCTCCCCTGAATGACCGGGATAAGGGTTTTCTGTCACAAAACAGACAACATGTTACAGATGCTCTAGGGACTCTAGGTTTGAGTAAGTTCCTCTTTTACACTGGGTGGAAAAGTAGAATCTTTCTCCTATGTAGGAATGGGTGTTAACAAGTTTGTGTGAAAAATAGCCTCTATAACACCCTGAACCAAAACTTCAGGGCCTCAGCGTACCTTTTCTGGACATATCTGATTAAGTTTGGTTTGGGTCTGTGAATGTGATTAAATGGCATGACATTTGGTACTGACTGTTGCGGCCCCACAAAAAAGAGAAAAAGAAAAAAAAAACCATAATCAGCTAGTCTGAGCACATACATACTTAGTGTCGAAGAGCTCTTTATTGATATTTTGCTGTCAACAGTGTAACAGTCATCATCTGTCTCAGCAGGTATGCCCAAGTCTTGGGGGGTCAGATTCTCGGGTACAGGAATGTGCTACAGCAACCAGCAAAAAAGAGGGTGTAATGATGGACAAAAGCTTTCAGTTACCAGTGTCTAAGCTTCCTGTTTCTGGTGAACCTTTGTGCACGTGTGAGTGTTGCCCTGAGAAGGCCTGGAGAAGCTGAATTATGCCCAGCACATGTTGTCTTTCTGGTACAGCGCTGAAATGGCACGTGCCCTGCTGGTCGATGATACTCCCCAGGGCAGGAGCCCCTCATCCTCGCTGCCCCTTTAGCATCCTGATATTTTGGTGGGCCCCGGCCTCAGGGCAGCTGCTCCTCCTTGACTTCTACACACTCCAGACATCCCACCTTGGCCTTGCTAGGCTCAGTCCTACCACTCTTGCCTCAGATAGCCTCAAGGGAAGGTTCAACTCCCATTTTCTAAGTCAACATTTGCCTTGAAGGATTTGTGGGAACCTGAGTGCTGAGACTTTTGGTCTGCAGTTTGCCTTGCACTAGCGGGTGGTTCTCAATGGACAATCAGTTTTTGTAGGTATTGCTCAGAGGACATGATCTTTTTTTTTCCTAATAGATGATCCAAAACTGAGGATATATTCCCTATATGCAGTTTAAACTGATATAAATAGGGAAGTTTGTACACATACAAAAGAAACCACGTGCACATTGTAAATAACAGTGAATGAAAGTGGGCTTTTTGCACAAACCTCAGAGAGAATAAAAGTGGAAAGCAGCCTCATATATTGGTCTCTTTCAAGCTATCTCTATTTTGTCCTTAGTTTGAAATACTGGGAATGCACTACCAGTCCTTTCCACTTCGCACATGTTGTCCAAAGCCAGACGCAGCAGTTCAGTGAAGGATGATCTTGGAGGAGGCAGGCTGTGCTTGGGGCAGCGTCATGTCAGCGCTGCCCCGACCACCCTCCTGTAGATCCCTGCTCTGCTTCCCCCTCCCCTCTTGGTTTCTGGCCAAGACAAGTGACCTTCTTATCACCAAACGCCTTCTTGTTTCTGCAGTCGTGGCATGGTATATGAATGACTTGTAGACTTGTGTGGGGCACCTGCTGGTGGCTTTTCTTTAATTCGAGCTTCTGAGTGGTTTAGTTATGTAATTTTATTTCTTATGATTCTTGCACATATGAAATCTAGCTCATGTGTATGTTTATATATTTACGTACATACGTATGTGTGCGTGTGAATGTATATGCATACATAGTAGTAATAACTCTGTATTTTCTAACTTGCCCAGAGCTGCTTACAAGCAAATTCATATCCACCCAGAGCAGCCTAGTAGTGTCTATTCCTGCTAATTCACTAAACCATGATCTTGCATATCATGGGATTTAGAAATACTACTATTAAAAATGCAGATTAGCATTACCTAGCAAACAACGTAAGAGCAGTATGAACATTTTTCTTCTGTGACTAGCAAGGCTGTAAATCATACAGCTAACACAACAGTCCTGGACTGGGGGTCGGACCCATTCCTGGAGACAGCACTGGGAAAGGACCGTCCACATGGACCCATGGAGAAGAGGGCAGCTGCAGCATCCTCTGCTCACCGGGGCAGAGCAATTGCCACACACTTGCCACTGAACCATTCAGCATTTGAGGGGGAATGTTAAAAAGAAGGGAAGATGTTGTCAGAATTAAAGTGCTTAAGTTTGAGTCTCCCATCCAGTGTTGCTGTTAAATAGGAGCAAGGGAGAAGGGTGAGGCAAAGGGCTTTCATGAAACCTGAGCAACATAAGCATGAGCAACATGAGAAACCAAGCAACATAAAATATCAGTCGCTATTTCATTTGTTAAAGATTTCCTGAACAGAAATTCTCTCATAAAATCAAATGAAAGAAAAAAAAAAAATACAGCTTTATTTCTCTTTCACGGTAATGTGGTTTTCCCTTAGTCCTAATCAAGGTTGGCAAAAGGTAACAGCTGTCTTTCTCTGCTGAGTAGAAACGTTTGGTTTGTTTAATGCTATGTCCACTTCTGAGACTGTGCTAGGATTGTAAAGGGTTGGTTTGTTTGCTTCCTTGCTTTCTAAATCTTTTTCTGCTAGTGGCTTATTTTTTATTTTTGATTATTAGTTTCCCTGTGATAACAGCGGTAACATGATCTGAATGGGTAGCAACATCTGGAGACTTCTTCCTTGCTGACATGAAATCTTCACTTTAAAAACATAATTGATTAAAACAGTTCTTTCCAACCTACTTGCTTTCTTTTTCTTTTCTGTCTGTTCTGTCCAGAACCAAACTGTCTTATTAACTGCCCCCTGGGGACTCTAACCCTGCCTGCCTCACTGCTGTAAGTCCTTTCTACCTTGTTTCCAGAGCTTTCCGAAAGCAGTCATTTTTGAACGTGTGGGTTAACGAAGGGAAATAAATGACCGCAGCTCCAGAGGTATCGGCACGCACCTGACGTCCCTGCAGGGTCCTTCGTAAGCGGCGGTCAGGAGGAGCTCAGGATAGGAGCCCGTCTGCTGTCCCCTGCGGCGGCACGGGCTAAGAGGTCACACTTCAGGCAAACTTTGTGCTGTTGGGGTTTTTTTGTTGAACTTTAAAACATTGGCAAAGCGTAAGACCAAGATAAAGGCATGCAAAAAGGTTGGGGAGGGATTCAGATTTATAACAAACTTTTTTTTTTTTTTTTAAATTTTATTTTTTAATTAACAAATGCACAGCACTGCGCAGGGCTTCTGGCTGCCCTGGGCTGCATTCCCTCCGGCCGTGACTACAGCAGCAGGAGGAGAGGGCTGCGGAGGGGGCTCCGGCACCAGCCCGTGGCTGACGATCACCTTTGCTCATTAAGCTGATCCCAGCCCCATTTTGGCCGGCGGCTGGGGTTGCCGCAGCAGAGGGAGGGAGGAAGCTGTGCAGACATAAGCTAGGACTGTCCGCTCTGCTGCAGAGCCAGAAAACTGTTTCATTTATGTATTAATATAGGCATAGCCATGGTGGCTGACAGCCTGGCTTAGGAAATAGCTGGAAACTAAAGCTAAAATCACCTTTCCCATTTTCAGTGTGTGGGCTAAGAAGTGCTGCCCGTCCACCCACAGCCCCAGGCAACCCCCAAACTAAATTGCCCATGGGATATTAGGTTTTTTTTAAACATTCCTAGCTATGATAGCTACCTGCGGTAAGTGAGGAGGGGGTTTCACAAACCCTTCCAGACAGTTTCCTTGTCATGGCTGGGTTTCCTTAGCGTG